TTTTCATTTTCTCGCAATTAGTGCTTTTCGATCATTTATTGCACAAAACTGTCTTCCATATCTACATAGTACGTTTTGTATCATTTTTCTCAAATATACTCCATTGAGTTTAGATTAAGAATTATACGTCCAGAAAATTATACCACTCGTGCAAAAATAATTTTTAATTATTTAATTCGTTATATTTACCAATACTATAGTATATTATATATAATTATCACAGTTTGTTCTTCTTTCTAAGAAACCTTATCACATTCGTACTAAGGTCAATCGAAGACTCGCAGGAAGTGACTGAACCAGCCATGTAATCTTCTTGTCAATGAGAATAGTTATCATTTCTTCCTTTATCTAATCACGGGTGGAATTATTTTCGTCTATTTATTAGGTGTTTTCAGAGATGGCAACTGCGGTTGAGCCTTCATTTTCTTCAACTTCAGAATAATGAAATAAAGTAATAAGAGAATTTTACTTGAATTTTTGCAAGTTACACGTTTCCCACAGGAGTATCTTCTTTTTATGCTGATGTTAAATAGTCACATTCATCTAACAGCTGTTTGAATTTTTAAAGAATTATTTAAAATAGTATTCCTACTGTTATTATTAATTGCAATTATTATCCTTATACATCCTCAATTTCTTTCTTCAAATTTAAAATAGTTTTCCTTTCAGCACCATATTATTGCTTTTTATAATTCATTTAATTACTGTATAAAATTAAAATACTAATAAATATAGTTAATAATTAATTAATTATATAATAATCAAGGTGTAAATTAAATACGCACACATAACGTGTTATTATTAAAGAATGTGTTATTAAAATTTTGTAGCTATACATAAGCATTGGGAAATACTAAAAGTCATTATAGATTCTTTCGTGTTTTCCCGGATTGTAAACGTAATTTCTCATGAGATTAAGAGATATCTATACCTATACGAAAATGGCTATTTGGATTTATTACAATTTGTATTTAATACACGTAGTCCAAAGTAATACATATTTGGAACGTATAATTTGTTACAATTATGTTTGGTAGAAGTATGTACTTACTATTAGTGCAAACATATAACAGAGGTGATTAAATTTTCTATAACGAAAACTATATTTCAACTATGAAAAATAATGAAGCATTATATTCTTTCTGACATAGGATTCTTAATTAATACATATAATTATTTTCCAGCTATCATTTATATTAATTTATAGACATTTGAGTTATTCCCTTCCTAAGGATCAAGGAGTGTTATTAAATTTTTCTTAAAATCACGTGTGAATAATAAGTACATCTATGGATGCATCTGACATACATGTAATTATATAATGTATTGTATAATGTAACACAATTTATATTTGATATATAAGCATATGTTTAGTATATACGATTAATTATAATTTTTATAATTTATGTATATAAACTCATGTTAAATGTAATTGGGTGATGATATATAGTTACACTAATTATAGTTTATAAGAAATTATATGTACTAAATACATATATAGTACATATAATTTCTTACAACCTACAATATTTTTATATAATTGCATGAATATATATAACATAAATTTTTTGAGAACAATTTCATTATGAATAAAAGCTTTAGTATACTTCATCAGTATGAATAAAACATAATTTCAAAGAAAAAGGCAATTTTTCTATTTGTATTATTTAGGAAAACTTCTACGCCTATCTATTGTATAAAATTGTATCGAAATTAGAGAATGAGTCAATATAATTCAATAAAATCCGTTTACTTAATTTATTCTTAAACGTGTTTTTATTCTTAAACTGAAATGTATTTAATAAATAAATTCATTTCTCAAAGTGAATACGTGTATACCACACATATATACATATATATACACGTATCAATTTAAAAATAAGAGATTTCATTCTTTTATTTGTTGGTTTGCTCGTCACGCAGCAAACAAGCTGTTTAATACCGTAAACTACAAATTTGATCAATATGTAGTAAAACGTGTCGGGCTTTTGTATATTGCGTTTCACTAGCTGGACCGTGAAATGCTGTGTCGCGTTGTAATTACTTTTCCATTATTCTGAATTTAGTATAAAGTCAAGCACTCTAATGTATTTTTTGATTCTCATTCTTTTTCCAACTTGTATTAATTCTATTTCCACGTGTGTTTATATCAAATAATTTAATAATTTTGATATTTCTAACTATTTCTAACCTCCAAACTGTAAACACATATACTATCATAAAATATGAATAAATTCTTCTTTAAAGAAGCAATTTTGGAAAAATCATTGTCATTTCAAATTAGTATCAAAATAATATAGCATTTTAAAGCTTTCCAAATTACATAATGGCCATGCGAATTCTAGTTTCCCGTCCATGATGTAACTGTGGCGCCTCTACCGGATTAAAAAGAAGACTGACAAGCATGAACTTTAATATATATATTTCAGAATATAAAGAATATGCAAAAATTCGCAAATGATTATTTTGATCCTCAAGTTCAGTAAATATAAAATTTTATTTAAAGAGAAATAATATATTGAAAATAATTAAGCAGCAATGAATTGATGACAGCATATCCAAAATAGTCAACTGATGCTTTTACACAATATTTAAATTAGAAAAAATTAACTAGTGATGCAATGATAATAATAATACATCACAAATAATACAATATATCGAATGATATGTCAAAACCAATGAAATAATAATGTTTTGATAAAAATATATTAAAAATAACTAACTAATAAGTCCCCGAAAAACTTAATATAAACAAATAATCAATTAATGCATGAATTGTAGCAATATCATATTGGAAATCAATTAAAAATGATATACTGAAAATAAT